GACACCTTTTGAATAGATGGCCTACAAACCCAAGTATGTGAATGTTAAAATATTTCTGATATGTTCTAGCAAAAACGAAATGACTGATTGAAATTAATATCATTACCATTGTGCCTTATTCCCAAAACAAAGACCATTTACAGAAATGGCAACATAGTCATTGCATTATAAACTATCCCTTTAGAAATGGGGGATCCGGAGTGAAGCCATGTCCTAGAAAAGACAAAGCCTGTTAAATGTTTTCCCTTACAGCTGATTGAGGAGCTAGAAGTTCTGCTCAGAGATGCTACACATCCACAAGAGGGCCAGAAGTACCAGGAGGCTCTCATAAATTTGCAAGAGCTAATCCACTTGAAACTCCACCTCACCACGGAGGAGATCCTCAAGGTACAGGAATCATAGTCGTACGCGTGGAAGGTGCTATAGAATAAAAATGATGCATTATTGTGTCGTAACATCCAAGGCACTGTGCGTGTGAACCATTCCTGCTTCTCGTGTCGTGTGTCTCCCTGTACACAGAGGGCCAGTGCGAACATCGACACCGAGACAGGCAACATGCAGACGGTGATCAAAGACGACAATGTCACGCTGTGTTTCTGGGCCAACCTCAAGAAGAATCCAAGGTTTGTGGAGGAAAATGAAATTGGAACATTTATATTTAGCAGGAAAAACAATATCTAGCATTTCTCTTTGTTTCTAATGGGTCCACTCAGGTTTAAGGGGTTCAATTTTGAAGAGGCCGGCCTGGGCTTTAATCTTCCCAAACAGCTGGCTGTGAGCGATATCGCTGTACGGATCCTCCACACACGGTATGACCACCTGTCCTTGCTGTCCAGGATGGCTCACCTCAGAATACACAGCCACAGGTACTCATCTGACAGTGCTCTTCCCACAGCTAATACAGCTAACGCTAGCAATACTTTTACAGGAGTAATAATGCTGATAATACTAACCCTGTTCTCTTTGGTCTGTGTTCTTGTCTTTCCTCATCTGTTGGCTCCCAGGTCTTTTGCAGGCGGTGACGAGGCTCTGGCAGACCTTGGGGTGCCTGAGCAGGAGCAGACTAGAGCAGAGGAGGAGGTAAAGGAAGACAACGAGACGCTGCAGCGGAGGGCGGACGAGGAGGTGCAGTCCATCCAAGGGTCCGAAGGGCGGAAGGTAAGATGAAAGAAAGACTTCCCGGTCTGGGTTGCCAAGTTGATTGGGATGTTTTCATGCTCATTGTGTGTGTGTGTGTGTATTTCAGAGTGCAACCAGCGTACAGTCGAGGAAAAGCAGTGTCCAGCCTGCAGAGGGACAAGGGAGCCAAGTTCAGACACAGATAGAGGCGCTTGGTGGAACGATGTCCAGCCTGACACTTCCTGATATTCTGACAGGTCTTGTGTTTTCTAATGTAGATTTAGATCTGTCTACATCCATTATTGTGTAAAAATAGAAGTAAATGAAGTTATAAAGCTCTTCCTCCATCTTTTTTTCCCCTTCTCTTCAGATGAAGGGGACTTGAATTCTCCCCCAGTGGAGATAACAATGATGGACCGCGTCCAGGTGGTAGATTTAATGCAGTACACACCTCTGGGTGGGGTCCTCTTCTATGATGTGTTTCACCTCCCGCCACAAGCCCACCAGGTCAATGGCTGGGAAATTAGACAGGTAAATAGAAAAGGGGTTTCAGCGTTCTCTGCTTACACCAGGCTCAGCAGTTTAAGTCGGCCTCCACTTCTATGTTTTTCCAGCTGCTGGACAAAGGGCTGCAGGTGTTCCCCTACCCTGTGGAGAAGTCTAAGGTAGATGGCAACGAAAGCGTTACGTGCCCTCCTGTTGGCGTGTCTGTGACGCTGCCAGAGTCTGTCGTCTTCTTGGAAACTCCCCAAGTGGCTCGCTGGGATGCTGCAGGTAGGGCATACTATACAAAACCCTCTCCAGCATGAGGGGTGTGAAATACAGCTATTTAAAAAGGGCAGCAAAAAGTCATGGACATTGGTTGCTTGTCCAGGGAAGCAGTGGAGGATGGACGGTATCACTGACGTCTCTTATGAGGAGGCGGAGGCTAAGATCTCCTTCAAGATGGACTCCTTCCAGGCCTTTGTGCTGATGCAGGAAACGTATGCCAACCTTCCCTTTCAGAACTGGGAGCTCAGGCCATTAGGCCAAGACTCAGCTCTATTCACTGTCAACGGAGCGCTCATGGACCTCAGTATCACAATCCAGGTAAGGGACCGGAGGGCACTGTACCCGCATAACAGAAGAATTAATCAGAAGATGTTCTAATTTGTGTTTGTGCCTATTTTACTAACAGGGTAACCAGTGTATGTTGCAGTCAGAGCAACAGAGGGGTCTCGCTCACCTCATAGGGACGTGGATGAGTGGCCCCGCCCTGCAGAGAGCCATGCTCAGCGCTGGCATCAACATCTTTGTGAATGAGTACACGGACAAATACGTCAGCACTTGCAGCAAGGTCTGCTCTTTTAGAATAGAAGACTAAGATACTGAGCCAGGTTTGGCTTTATTTGGTCATGTCCATGTTGTGTTTCAGTGTCTGGCAATGAATCCACATATCAGTGACAGGAAGTGGGAGATGACTTTCTTTTAAGCATCATTATTTTACAGTACATTGTTTAGGCTGACAACACACCGTCATCACAGTGCTTTCAACTTATATTACACAACATTCGGAGCAGCTGTTTTAAAGGTGGGGTCAGTCTTTATGGCAGAGCTTTGGCAAACTGTCGGTGTTTGATGACCTGGGAATAACATAATAATATGAGATCAATTATCAACTATCTTTTTCCGGAAGCCCTGACTCCACCTTTGCATAAAGCAACAAGAGTACTGCTGTGTCCCAAATCAGTCTGTAGAGCGTTAAACACTTGTGACTAAGAGTATACTTGCACACTATGCTACTCACAGCTGGAGAAACACAATTCATTTAAATTAATTTTTAGGGAAAACATTTTTAACTGGCAGTAGCTTTCTGGTAACTCACACATTGTATCATTACTTGTTAGTGTAAAAGGGTAAAGCATGTTATATTTTTATTTTTGTATACTAACCGCTGAACAGTACATTATTCTTACATCTGGTATGTAGCACATATATACATATACACACACACACACTATATAGAATTTGTATATAGTATGGTACTGGGACATGCTAGCAACCATGTGAGGCTACATTTAGGCACAACAGTGCTTTGAGCTAAATGCTAACATGCTGAAGTTTACCAGGTATAATCTTTAATCTTATAGTGTTAGCATGCTAATATTTGCTTTAATTAGCTAGTTAGTTAATGGGACTATTATTATTAGTTGGTTATAAACCAAAGTACTGGGCAAATTAAAATCTAGCCTCAAAGGTATGGGATCACCAAACAAAATAAGATTCATATTGAGTGCGATGTGAATGTCTATACTAGATTTCATGGTAATCCATCCAGTAGTTGTTGTAATTTTCTTTAAAACCACAAATGTCAACCTCATGGTGGCACTGCTAAATGTGTACAGCGATGCAGAGATGCCTGGATGATAGAATAGAAACATATATGGAAAACACTACTTCCTTCTAAAAAAAAAAAAAAAACTACTCACAATACATGATGTAAAGCTGAAGGGACCATTGTACACATTAGAATAATGCTTAGATCACTATATTCCTCTCCAACATTTTCCAGAGTGATATAAATGTTTTGTGTGGTTTGTCTCCTCTTCAGGACCCACTCACTGAACACGCTGCCTACGAACAGATGGCCCTCTTCGCCTCTGCTTGTGCCTTCTCATGGAGCAAGTGGAATGCCAAATGTGGCGCTGAGCATCTGGTCATGCAGGTATTCTCACTAACACTACCCTCCCTGTGTTTGCCTGAGGAGGATGTGCACAGTCACAGTATCTCCTCCTGCACACATGGACTCCCAAGCCACATGCAAAGGTGTACCCCAACCACTTCCGCTCTGGGACTGACAAACAATTAGGGGTTGTCAATGCAGCATCAAGTTTACTGCGCCAGCTGGGCCCTTAACACGAGCAGATTAGACATTTATACACCCACACAAACACAGGCCAGAGATATAATCTCTTCAGAATGAGGAAGAGGGAAGTTTTGTAGTGCCACAGTGTCAAAGTGTAAAAAAAGTACTGTCTCTCAAATGGGGAACGCTTGGTTCTCTCTAAAAAAAAACAGTGAGTCTGTGGTTGAGTGCATGGACCGGACATAAACTGCAGCCGTTTAAGAGAAAACACCCAATCCAAAATATCAAGTTACTTTTAATTTCTGTTCAATTTCCTGTTTGCACTTCCTTCTCCTCTGTCAGGTGTGTGAGCACCACGGCCCCGCCCCTGTGCCTAAGGGCTCGTGGAGTCTGTACCTGCTGGGCGCCCAGAGGAGTCAGAAGCTGGAAATCACAGAGAAGAGCGAGGCTTTCTCTCCAGACCATTATCCCGGCAGTGAGTTTCACTCCACCTTCATCCACATGCTCCAGGACAACATGAGTACTGACGGCATAGCTAGGACCAGAGAATCCAATTATCTGTTTGTCGATACAGTACAGAGCCTGCTCTGTGCCACCAGACCCTTCATGTATTCATAACCTGTGTGAAATTAACTTGGGGTTGCACTTTTTAAATGAACAAAATAAAGACATTTTAAACAGCTGAATTTAAAATGTGCATCTGGATGCACATAAGAACCCACGTCTTCCATTGTACAATTGGCTACTTTATTTGTGCAAAGTCTCACGCATCTTCTTTGGAACATACAAAAGTGTATGGAGTTAAAAACGGTGACAACCACAGCAAAAACTTAAAGACAAAAATAAAAAACCCTTTGGTGTTAAGACTGTAACAATGTAGAATTATAACTTAACAAAAATAAACAGATATTCACATCTCCCCACTCAAAACTAACAAACTCATAAATATAGATTTCAAAAATTTAAAAACACTTAAAATGAAAGATTTATTACCAGTGTTTATAGACTTAAAAAATATTAAATGTCCTTTGCAACCTGTAAGGAAAAAGGCTGGCAGTCCTGCTTCCTCAAGTGCATGAAATGTGTTAAAAAAGCCATGTGGAACAATCGGAGCCATTGTCCATGATGCTTGTCAATGGAAAACTGCACAGCGGCCCATTGCATGACTTGTTGGATCAGTGTTGTCATTCTCATGGAGCTGTGACATGATTGGTCAACATTGTGCCACCTCTGATGACTGATCAAGCCTGATTTGACAGATTGTGTTGGGTCCAAGTAGACAGTTGCATCATAATTTGTTGAGGGTGTTGAGCAGCCCACCGTGAACCACCTGGAACCGCTTCTTCTCTTAAAACACAGACACACACAGACACAAACAGTCTAACTAATTTAGCAAACGTGATGTGATGCATATTATCCTCCACAGGGTTAACTATTCTGAGGCCTGGTCTGTGCTGTCAATACAAAAGTCTTGTTTTAGGAATTTTCAGGCACCAGTAAACATCCCAACAGCCTTTGCTCAGGAGTGGTACACTGTACTTTCCTTCATCACCACCACAGTGCACAGATCATTTCAGCAGAGGGCCGATGGGCCGTAACACCATCCAAGCCGGGTCTCTGGGGCTAGACGGGGGGCTGTCCGTTGTGCCGGAGCCCTGCGTAGGGCCACAGCAGCTGCTGGATGGTCATCCAGGAGTCCCCGGTCCCCACAGGGGCTGCATCTACCACTGGCTGCATCACCAGGCTGGCCAGCAGTGCCAGGAGACCTGCAGGGGAACCATGAATATTTACCAGCACTGGGAAAATGCCTATAGGCAACTGCTCTGTCATTGGATTTGGAACATGTAGAACACAGGCTGGGATTCAGAAGTGGGCTGAAAACTGATTTAGAAAGTGTTAATCAAAACAAAAGAGGAAACTCAAATGGCAAACTGAGAAATGAAAATGCCAATTTGTACATGCTTTAATCAGTACAGAGTGGGTCATTTGTTTCTACTACTGTCAAGTACAAGTATCAAGTTACTCTATTCTTTATCTGCAAGATTAAAAAGAATAATCTGAAAATAAGTACTACAGACAAACTGAGCGTACCTGCTAGCACTACCACCATCGCCAACCAAAGCCAGAGCCCCCTGCCACCTCTAGCGACTGCTGCTGCCGCTGCCCGGGAAGAGGTCAGGCCGTGGGACAGAGACTGGGCCATTCCTTGGTCTGTAGACGTCGGGCTAGAGGAAGGGCTCGGACTGCAGGTGGGCAGCAAGAGAGAATAAAATGTTACCACAGGATGGACAGAAAATGAAGCACGAGAGAGGGAAACTTAAGAAATAAAAAATGGTCAAAGATGAAGCTAGATATTGAATAAGTTACCAAAAATGACACATAGGGAAGGAAATAAGTAATCAAGTCTTTTTAGAGTCATTTGTGGTAACTGATGCAATAGATGGCAGGCGGTAAATTAGCTGCAGCTTGGTACAACCTGAAGTCGGCTTCAATGAAGCACATTTGACCACCTGTCTCAAATAGTGTCAAAGATGCAAAACCATTCACCTAGTCTTCATCAGCATAATGAAAAAGCTGTCAATAGCACAGTTAATAGCGGCTGGCATGGAAGTGGATTTGAGCATCGACTGGTTAAGCAAAGGCAGCAGACAATTTGGGCCTAGCATCTTGTCAGCAGTAGGAGTGCTGCTTCAAATCACTTTACAGTCATTACGAGTCAGTGCAAGGTTGTAAGTGGCCTTTGATTGGCACTCCCACATGATAAATACAGGTCTTTTGCATGCACTTATTGTTTTTTTGGATAGAGACAGAATCCAGAAGCCCTTCCCACTTTGGACTCTCCTCCCTACACACTTACAGCATTACAAACAGCTCATCCTGACTCCTGAGCAATGTGGAGGGAGGAAAAGAGGAAAGGACAGTTCAGAACAACACATGATTGCACAAAATACTCAGTTGCCCCACAAAAATAAAGACAAAAAATAGTCCAAGTGTAGTTGTTTGCACAGACAATGTTAAGGTGGCTGAACATGTTAGTAAATGACAGAAGACGAGGCGGTAGAGATGCACTGGTTATCAGTTAGACGCTTTGTTAGTTGCACACTGAAAAACAGAACTTGAGATCCATGCATGAAACAAATTATGAAGCTTCAAAAATCACTTGTCACACTGACATACACTGATCTCAAGTTAACAGCTGAAGGAAGTGGTTCATTTGTGGCCCTTGTAGTAGAAAAACGCTCCGTTAACATGATTAAAAGCCGCTGAGCCCCTGGAGCAAAGAAGAAGCTAGTCCAGCACAAACCCATATAATGGAAGAGTTTCATCACTTAGGTTCCATGTACTCACACAGCATGTTGAACAGAACATGATAAATAGCACATAAGTGATCATTTCATATTAAATAATTCAAAATGTATGTATGTGTAAGTAAATAAAGAACAATAATTCAGCCTGTGTGTAGCCCATGTCATCTTTTACATTTGTTGGTGTCTCATAAATGCTCTGGAGCACTAAAGGTGAACTCTCCAGCAGACCTAGCAGTAATGTTAAAATAAACATGACAGGGACTGAGTAGTTTGCATGAACAGTGACAGTCACAATAGCGACCTACAGAGACCTTTGACAAATCTCGTTCACTAATAAGATGCATGGTGGCTGTGTGATCTCTGAAAACCACAGAAAAAAAATAACACCACAGAAATGACTGTTTAACGTCAAAGATGGAGATTAACTAAACATCTGGTATGTCAGAGATGACCTTTGATATCAGACATTTCAGTTTGCAGCTACTGGAACCTCAGCACAGCTAAATGATGAACTCTTCCACTATGCAGCTAGCCTCTTAGCTTTGCTGGCAGAAAGTGGTGCTGCAGTAGGCTATTGGTGGGTATTTGGTTAGACTAACGTCTTGAGGGGCAGAATGAGGGAGGTGAGTTTGTTGCCCAGCTCACTGAGACTGGACCTCCTCCTCTCTGCCACCGGCTCCTCCTTCTGCTCGTCCTCCGACTGGCAGTCGGTGTTGTCGCAGGCCGTCCTGTTGGCACGCGTGGGTCAGCCATTCACAAACACACTGTTCAGTTGCACATTCAAATACAAGCATGGCTGCATAACTACACTGACTATGTGCTCATGCACATTCCATGCATATGCAGCCAACAGATACTGACTGTTTAACATTTATATGCAGTACACAAAGAGATATCCCTGATCAAACTTTTAATGCGCTATAACAATGCATGCCCAGCAATGTCAATTACATGCTCCAATATTATATCATGATCCCACAAAGCAATTTCACAACCTTTCAGATATTTGGAGAGAAATAAAATTGCTTAATTTGTTTCATCTAAGCTTCAGTTTAGGCTTAGCTGGTCAAATAGAGCAAGTTCTACTCTCATCGTCCAAACATTTGAAAGCTATATGATGCCAATATAAAATAAGTCCACACTTCTCATTTTACAAATGACACACAAGAAAAAATGTGCCATATTTGAAAAATGTCACAAAAAGGATGTTGGCTTCTGATAAACACTTCCCCATGCAAGGAGGGACCAGATGCATGAAAGATGGCTGCTGTGCGGTTGGATTTCATCATCACTGATTTTTTTCCCCCATCACCAAGTTTGTTCCAGCAATCTTAAGCTTCACCCTTTCATTTACTTGAGAGTAGTGTAGTGTAGTTACGTATATTAGATATATGTACAGATAATTAATTTTGTTTTTTTTTAATTGTTCGTCTGTAAAACTTGCACATTACAAATGCAGAAAACTGTTTCCAGAAAATATCCTCTCCAAAATGATTGTGAGAAGTGTAAACTTGTCAACTACAACAAAAGTAAATTGATAGTTCTCAAAGTCGAAGGCAGGCCTCCCCAGGGGGGATTCGAACAGTTTCAGGGGAGGCTCAGTCAATGGAAGTGAAAAAATAATATTACATTAGTTATTTAAAAGGAGATCACTTAGAGTAGGGGCACTTTTTTCCCCAAGCCTCGTCTGAGGGGAGGTCCCAGTCTCAGACCCCAGTATTCTCCACTGTCAGACCCACAGTAGTAATGTCACACCAGAAAGTAGCCATCTTTATGCATCTGGGTCCATTGTAAAATAACTTATGGGACGCAGCCAGCGTGGTACCCTTCTTCTTAACATGTCTTACCCCTTCATCATGAGAGAGGGCTCTTCAGTGTCAACCCAGGCCGCAGAGCTAACAAAGCGTTTTAGTGGGGGGCGCGCCATGCTCTTCCCTGCCACATTCCTGAAAACCACCGTTATCACATTGGGGCATAACAACAACAACAACCCTTTTGTTGTGGTGTAACCTCTGTGGCCTGAGAGAAACAGCCAATGGCCTCCCACACATCAGAGATAATGCTGCTGCTGGGTTTTAAAAAAGGTAGAGTAATGTAAACAGTCCTCGTACTACTAATTTAAGTACACTTTCCCCTTCACATACAAAATAAATCTTGTTTAACTTCACTCGACATATTACAATCCAGGCAAATGTAACAAAAACATGAACACACATATGCAAATACCTACCATGGGGATCGCCTGGTCAGTCTCTCTGTTTCAGCCTCTGAGCCATCTTGTGTTTTGGACTGTGGTGGGAGAATCAAACTATTTGAGTCATGTAAACAAAAATGCTC